CCCGTCGCCTATCCGTCCTCTCGGTCGCTGGCTCGGCCTCCCGGCGCCTGCCCGCGGGTTGTCAAGCGTCCATGATCGGCCGGCGTCCGGCGCTTTTCTGCCTCCGCCGACCCGTCTCCCTAGCCACTCCCCCGGAAGCCTCCCGCCGCTGCACTCGAGTTCCGCCCACACTAGGTTCCCCCCGCCGCGAGTGCGGCCTCACTCCTCCATCCAGTGGGGCTTGGGGCCAGAGGAGGGTCTGAGCCTGGTCTTAAGTCAGGAACTGGGAAGAGAGGGACGAGGAATGCAGCCTAGGCTGCACCGAAGCTGCAAGCGTCGGCACCACCATCCTGGGCCCGAAATCCACCCCTCTTGCCCAGCTTTACCTCTCAAGCGTCCCCTTGGGCGACTGAGGCTCGCTGGGCGTGGAGACATAGTAGCCTAGTAATTACTGTCTGTTGAGCGTTGTTCCCCATACCAGAGGCTGTACACTGTTCTGCTGAATCCTCATAACTCTTTTTAACTGAGTTTTACCATGCCTCAAAATCCAAACCAGTAAGTGGCAAAGTCCACTTTGGAAGCCAGGCTCTCTGAAGCCCAAGGCTATGTTCTTGACCTCTATTCAGAAGATCTTTTAAAATAAAAGATGGGGTGAATCAGTAGTGGTTCTCTGTGACCAAAATGATAGCTCGGGGCATTCCATTTGGTACTTGGTAAACCCCCTGTCAGAGGCTAAGAAATTCCAGAAACCTGAATACTTAAGCTGATTCCTTCAAAGTATGAGACAGTGTCTTGAAGAGGAAAAGAGCCCCTGTTTGCGCCTGTGCAGTAGAGTGCAGAAATCAGACCCCACAAAGGAACCTAGAACCAACCCATTCATTTATGCAAAAACATTTCTTTAGCATCTACTATGTTCTAGGAACTATTTTATAAAGACAAGAGGAGGGTCTTACCCTCAAAAAGCTTCAATGTTTAAATACTATGGCAACACATAGAAAGCAAAGAAGAGAACAAGGTCTTTTCTTTGGAGAAGATAAAAAGGTGTCTTCCTGGCAGAAGAGGAAGAACTAGGGCAGTGAGAACTGTCAGAAAGGCTCGCACTGTGTAGCATATACTGACACAGAAGAGAAATCTAGGGTGGCTAGCCCCTGACTACTGAGGGTGTTAGGTTAAGGGCACAGAGCTGAATTCTGGTTATCATGGGCCTTGGAAACCATGGGCCATGCGCTATGCCCAGTAAAAACCTAAATACAGCAAAATTCCAGCCAGAAAGAGTTCACAGTTGGTCAGAGAGAGCCATGTCTGGCTGTGACAGACACTGCCACAGGTACCCTATGGGTACAGAGAAAGTTCTCCAGACTATGCCTAGGGAAAGAGGAGTTCAAGCAGGCTTCTGAAGGAGATGAAGCTTGAATTGACCCTAGAAGACTTGAGCAAGCAAATCACAAAGGATGTAAGCCATGGAAAGGAGTTATTTTTATCTTCTGGACACTGGAGAGTTATGTAGGGCTTCTTAGCTGTATGGATAATTAGCATCTTATAACTATCACACAAGCTGCTATAGAGTGGATTGGATGTGGACAGAGTGGACAGAGTTAGAATCAGGGCAAACCTCGAGGTAACTGATCCATTCCAGATAAGAGACTCTGAGATCTTCAACAAAAGCAGTGGCGATTGGACATAGGGGGGAAAGGTCGTTATTGGAGACATTTAGACTGTAGAAGCTGTCAGACTTGGTGACCAGTTAAATGTGGGGGGAGGGGAGGAAGACATCAGTCAGATCAGAGCTGTCTAGAGTTGGTTCTAAGTGAAGAGGGCTACAGAGGAGGAAGGGCAATTTGACACGAAGGAAGACAACTAAGTTCTGTTTGAGTTCATAAATACTCCGGCAGCAATTCTCATTTCTCCAAAAGAATGTCCAGATTCCAAGGCTCAGTTAAAGCCTTCGCAGTATATCTTCAGCTCTGTCTTCAGAGTCCAAACCCCAAGCCTCCCCAGACCCTGAGCAACTCACACCTTCCATCTCCAAGGCCAAGGGCCTGTCTCAAGCTTGCTCGCTCTTCTTTTTGGCAAGGGTCTCCTTCATTTGTCCTACCACCTCTGCAGACAAAGATTTCAGTAACTGGGTGCAAAAAGCATTAATCATAAAACAGTGAACTACATTAAGAATTTGTTCATCAAGGGCCCTCCCTGGTGGTGCAGTGTGTTAAAGCTATCCACAGCCACTGCAGCACAAGTTCAATCCCTGGCCAGGGATGGCGCAGCAGCCCTCTCCTGACCCGCCCATTGCTCCCCTCAGCAGTGTATTTCAGTAGATCTGCCTGTTCTGCTCCCCACTCTGTCTCTAGTGAATCCTCTCACCCCTTCCCCCTACTATATTTCTGGCCCACACCCCAGTTCTTGTGTGTATAAATAACATTAAAAAAAAAAAAACCCATGAGCTATGGTATTTGGCCAGAATGGCGAAATTTAAAAATTTAAAAAGACTGACACCCTGGACTGACAAGGGATAAGAGGCATTGTTGGTGAAGGTGCAAACTGATGTAATCACTTTGGAAAACTAGCAGTATCTACAAATTGCTGATGCTCTACACACCCTACAAGCCTGCAACTCCTCTCCAGCAACAGATTCAAAAAAGTAAGAATGTTCATTGCAGCTTTGTTAATCAGAGACAAAGACTGATAACTGTTATCAACAGTAGAATAAACAGTGCTATCTACATACAAGGGAATAGTACTCAGCAATTTAAAGAAAACAAGTCACCGCCACACACAACATGGATGAATCCCACAAACACTGATGAGTGAAAAAAGCCAGATTCATAGTGCGCCTACTGTGTGGTTATATTCAAAACAAAGTCAAAATAGACCAAACTGATGAATGGATGCAGAAAGCAGAAGAGCAGCTACCTCGCGGTGGGAGCACACAGCAGGGATGGCAAGGCTCATTACAGCAAATGTTCTGTATTTTGAGTTGGGCATTGACACAGCTGTGTAGACATACAGATGTAAAAACGTGCCATTACTGTATGTTTATGACATTTCATTAACCAGAAAATGTAAAAACAAAATGTCTTAATATAAAAAAATCCTAAGTTTAAAAGGCACCAGCTGGAATAAATCTCTCCATCAGGGCCAACGTGGCATCTGATGTCATTTCCTTCATGCCATGTATCACAATCCATCTTGGCTCTCAAGGAGTCTCCTTTTTCCCTAACCGGATGGTTATTTTCCTGGTGGCAGTGGCCATGTCTCTTACAACAGAGCGCCTGGCCAATAATAAAAACTGAATAAACAGTTGAATTACAGGAAAGGGAAAATTGGGTGGGTACCTAGGGGGGTAGAAGAGGGACAGAAAAAGGAAGATCTAGGAATGGGGAGAAGCAGTATCCAAGGTAAATTTAGCTTACACTACAATTTTACTTAGTTCCTAAATTCACATTAAAGGTCACCTTGAGTAAAAAAAAAAACAACAACAAAAAAAAAACAAATCAAGACAGCAAGTCCTACCTAGAATGAAGATAAACAACATCTCACGCCTTCAACTGCACGAAAATCGCCAAACAAATACTTACTTAACCTCTGGATGCTTCAACTTGGACAGGAAAACCTCGAGACTATCACGCAGACATGCAGCTAAAAATATCCCCAACCTGATGTGGTGTGAGCCCAGACTGCGGGTCAGGAGACTTAAGGCCGACTTCTAACTCTGTTCCAACTTGCTGTCATCCTTGAACAATCTCCTAGCCTCCCAGAGCCTCAGTTTCCTCATATGTAAAACAACAGAGGTTGGATAAGCAAATTCTCTAAATACCTTTCTGTGCTGATAGTCTGAGTTGTACAACCGATGTCTCTCGCAGTTCAAAGCAGCAGCACGCCAGAAACCCCTGCAAAACACATAAAAGACACCCCACACTTACAAACAAGCACGATCTGAAGGAGTCGTTTAGTGGTATTATCTTTCATGGTTTAATCATTGTTTTTTGTTTGTTTGCAGCCTTACCATGATTTGCAGGAGATTTCTGAGTCCCATGTAAACAGAAGTTACCTCTCTGTAGGCTGTTAGCATCTTCTGAGGATGAGGAGGGTCTTCCCGCCTGGTTTCAAGCCGCGGGATTGTGAAACCACCAAAATTGCAGGAGACTTAATGCATTTGCGCACACTGCGCGGCACACTGGAGTCTAAGTTACAGACGGCAGGGAATGCTGGGATTTGTAGTCCGTAGGCTTCTGTTGCGTGCTGGGATCTGTGGTCCCGAGGCGGGGGGGGGGGAGAGCTCCTCTGGAATGCTGGGAAATGTAGTCTCGGCCACATCGCACAGTGCAACCCGCCGTCATCCCAGAGCCCTAGGGTGCTCAGCGGCGGGAGCGGTCCCCTAGAGCCTTGGCAGATGTGAAGCCAACATCCGCTGGGGCATACGCTAGGCAACCACCCCGAAAGAAAAAATTGTCCTACGGGACTTCCCGGGCCGGGCCCTTTCCACTGACGCTCCCGTCCCCCTGCAAGCCGCTGAGTGTTTCTATTGGCTGACCGGGATGCCAGTCGCCGAAGCGGGCTTGCCATTGGCTTCGGGGCGGGCGCTCCGAGACTAGGGGGAAGGAGAAGGGATCAGGAGCGGGAGCTGAGGGGAGGGAGAGGCCGGTCCGGGTCTGGCCGCTGCCGCTTCTCGCCCGAGGTCTCCAGGCCGGGCTGCGGCTCCGTCCTCGGCGTCTGGGCACCGTCTGCGAGGCTCCGCGGGGACAGCGTGGGACAGCCGCGGGCGGCGGCCGCCGCATCATGTCAGCCAAGGACGAGCGGGCCAGGGAGATCCTGAGGGGCTTCAAACTGTATCCGCCCGGGAGCGGGGCGGGGCCGGGAGGCGGGCAGCTCCCGGAGGAGCCGGGCCGGGGGCGGGGGCCGCGCCAGGTGGGCGCCCGGGAGGGGCGGGAGGGACGGCAGGGGCGGCAGGGACGGCGTCCCGCGTCCCGGGCGGGACCGGGCGCTGGAGGCGGGGAAAGGGGCGCCGGAGCCGGGAACGGGACGTTGAGGGAGCCGCGGGGGGTGGAGGCGGGAGCCGGGGTTTGGGCTACAGGAGGCGCCGGAAGCGGGGGTCGGGGAGGCCCGCTGGGGTCCGAGCTCCGGCCGGCACCCGGAGGCCGGGAAGGGGCCGCAGCCCGCCGGGAAGGGCCGAGAGGCCGTGGTGGGCTGGCGTCGAAGTCCAGCAGCCTCGGGGGCGAAGCCCCCGGGGAGGCAGGGAAAAGTGACTTGGCGCGAGTGACCTTGTGTGGACGAATGCAGATGGCCGTGTTAAACTCGCGCGGGTTCCCCACCCCACCCCACCCCACCCCGTTTGGCTTCCACAACTTCTCGCCCTCACTTGTGACTCCTGCCAGGGCTGAAGCCGAGGAAGGGGACAAGTCCGAGACCCACCTCTCCCTAACTGCCCTGGGCCTTTGGAGGCTCTGGGTGGTCGCTGCTTCTCCCCGCGGCCCCTCCGTTTTCTTCCCGGCGAAGTGAGGACCCGACTCTCGAGCGTGAGGTGCCTGCAGGGGTTTTGGTTTGCTCTGGGCTCCTGGCGAAGGGATCCTGGCTCCTGGCTGGCTCGCGTTTGTGTGGGTAACGCCTCGCCCCTGGAGCTGTCCAGCAATTATCCGATGGCTTCGGGGACACGGTAGGATCTCCTAGGTTAGGGAGATCGTGGCCTGGGGCCTGCTGTTCTGCACTCCCTCGTGCAACCTGCTGTCCTTGATGTCCAGAGGAAGTTCTGTGTTTTCAGGGAGTGATCACCTGTAACCTTAAGATGCGGGTGAAAAAAATGCAGTCATGTACTTTACAATTTTTTCCCCCGTCTCCTGCTGACCTTAATCTCCACTTACATCCCATCTGTACCCTATGGAATGCGTTTACATTCCTCTTTATGTGAAATTGTGGTCACCACTGCAGGTTAAGATACTGTTTTTTGAGCTGCTTGTGCATTTCACACGACCTATTTCACCCTTGCCAATTGTAATAGCTTTGTCATCATCAAAAACCAAGTGGGCACTAAATTTTAGAATGCAGCATGCAAAAAAATTGTAGGAAGTCTTGGATATACAAATGAAATTGTTCAAGTGGAAGCTGCCCTGCTGTGCTTTCTTCAGAAAGCTGAAGGCATTCCAGCCTTTGCATGTTGCCATTCACAGTCAACTTTATGTGGTGAATTTATACCATCCCCTCTTACAGCCCTATGTGCTTTTTGCTGTTTCTCTTCCAGTGGAGCCTCTAAGAGTGTCGGATAGCTGCAGCGTTAGAAAAGCTGTGACATGGTTCACTTTTTCCCATAAGTATTGTTACTTAGTGTGTACGCAGTAGAGGTAGAGACTGTGGAGAGCTGATTTCAGAAACCATATTTCTGTGTGCTAGGAATTAATACAGAGCTGAAAACAAGGAAGGGTCACTTTTATGTCTTTTGAGCAAAGCAGAAGGGGAGACTTTGAGCTTCTCACCTTGAATCTTGCTCCTTGAACCTGTTGAGAAAGAGGCTGAGGGACAACTGTGGAAGAATCGAAACAGAACTTGCATCAGCCCTCTGGGAGGGAAGGTGAAAAATTCAGCGATGCTATCGAGTCAAGACTCAGGCTTTCAGGGAAAGTTTCTCTTCAAGCTGATTAAGTCTCAAGGGAAGCAGCCACATTTAAAAGTTAGCATGGAAGCAATGGGCCGCTTTTCCTATGGTAGTCTTTCTTGGCATGAGGAGCAAGAGAGAAATGGAGTTTTAAGATTTCTTGCTACCTGTAGGAATAAAATGAATGTTTTCCTAAGAAATCACCTGTCCACCTTCCATTGGGTAAATTGTTTTTCTGAACGTTCTTTCAGAGTGTTTCCTAACGAGAGTTTTTGTCGTTTTCTGGTTTTGGTTTTTTGTTTTTTTTTTTTAATTACAAATGATTTAGAGGTGTAGGTTTATACTTCTTCATGACAGGAGGTTTTACTCCAAAAAGAAAGTGCTGTTATGTTCTCCCATGAACAAGTTGGAGACACTCGTTTCCACATGGACTGTGCTGGTCTTTTCTATGTTTACTAAATTGTACAACAAGTGATGGTTATTTGAATTTGTATTTCCCTGGCTCCCTGCATCGCTGGAGGGGTAACGTAGTCTAGAGGTAAGAGACTGGACTGCACAACCCGGTGCCCGTGTGGGAAGCCCAGCCCCTGCTCCCGGCTGTGAAGCCACCTCTGCCGCCATCTTCTCTGTAGCTGGGGGTAATATAGTTCCTGTCCCATAGAGTTGGGCAGTGAAAGGAGTTGGTAGCTGAAGTTTGGAGAACAGTGCCAGGTGCCTGGTGGGCAGTATCCGTCAGCTGTTACTGTAGTTAGAGGCCTCTCCAGAGCCACAAGTGACCAGCAGTGCTTTGTCTTCGGCAACTTATTTGTCTGTTTGGGGTTTGCCCATTTTTCTATTGAGTTGCTTACTTTTTTTGTTGCTTTATTCGGTGTTCTTTACTTTAATATCATTCCTTTCCCTGTTATGTGTATAGCGAATATTTTCTCTCAGTGTATAGCATGTCTCCTTTTCGTTGAACATAAATTTGAAATTATCTTTTTCTATTCATCAGTATTTTCCATGTAACTCTCTGCCTTTTGTGTCTTGTTTAAGAAGACCTTCTCCCAAGATTAATTAAATACCTTCCTGTGTCCTCTTCTCCTTTAACGTGTAACTCTTTAATCCACCTGGAATATATTACACGTTATGATGTGTAGCTGAGCCAGACTTCTCTGAAATTCAGCTAGTTTTGTCCCAGCACAGCTTACCAGGCTTCAGCGCATCCTTTCCCTACTGTTGTGACATGCTGTCTTTGTCATATACTAAATTTCTGTAGGACTTGGGTTTATTTGGGAGTAGTTCTGATTTTTGATCCATTTGGCTCTTCCTCTGTCTCTATACATTGGTTATATTATGTTGTAGCTCTGTGTAGGATTCAGTGTAGTTTATAGTAGGACTGTCAGTCATGAACCAAGTATATGTGTTTAAAGTCACACTGTAAAGTGTCAATATTTGTGACCCTTGTATACACAAAGAACCTTGTCAATGCTTTTAATAAATACTCAGTTCGTATGAATAACATCCTTCATAAAGCAGAGATAAGCCTTTGTGTCTGAGAAAACGTAATGCATGCTGTTGTATTTGCCATAAGTTTGTCAAAAGTAAAATATTTGTCACCCCACCGCTCTCACATACCTATGCATTTAGTTCATATACATTAAGAATCTTGCAGTTCTTTCCTGTTTGTTAAAAGCATAACACTTCCTACTTATACATTAAAAATAAGAATGAAAAAAAAAAAAGAAAGAAAAAAAAATAAGAATGTAAGAATGAAATATTTCTTGGAGAGAAAATATGTTCTCCTGGTAAGATTTCTAATTTCAGAATTTTAAGTAGCTGATATAATATAAAGATTGTGTTTGTGAAATAGTCCCCGTTTCATTCATTTAACAAAGGTCAGTTGGGTGACTTCTAGGTGGGATACTGTGCACTTGAACTCTGCAGAAAGAAATGAGTCACAGTTCCTTCTTTCCAGAAGCTTAACCATATTTATGTCTGTTGAGAAAGAATATCTGCAAAAATAATGCATTTTAAAATACATTTAATTTTTCTATTATAAACTCCAGGCACCTAGAGATGGCCTTTGTTAATTTTGTTTGGTTGTATAAAAATATATTTATTTATGCATACAACAGCTGGGGTACAGGCCAGAGGTGCGGGGGATGAGCGCAATCAGAAACAGAGTGGGGAGCAGAACAGGTGGATCTGCTGAAATCCACTGCTGAAGGGAACAGCAAGGAGACAGGAGGGGTCTGCCTGATCCTGGGGGTCACTCCCTGGCCAGGGATTGAGTCGTGGGCAGTGGCTGCAGAGAGCTTGACAGTGCTGTGTTTAACCCCTGCAACGCCAAGGAGGCCCCTGCTAATTTTTCATACAGTTAATGTTTAATGTATTTGTTTTATAAAAATCAGAATCACTAGCTTTATTTATAACTTACTTTTTTTACTTAGTAATACACTTACCATGTTCATAATTTCCAACATAGTTGACCCTGAACAGGGTTTAAACTATGCAGGTTCAGGTTGTACATGAACTTTCTTACGCATGATGTGAACTTAACTGTTTTGATAAACACAATAAACTGCTGTAAATCTGTTTTCCTTATGGTTTTCATAATCGCATTTTACTTTCTCTGGCTTATTTGTAGGAATACAGTACATACTACATATAACATACAAATTATGTTATTTCACATTTTATATCAATAAGGCTTCCAGTCAACAATAGACTATTATTGGACGTTAAATTTTTGGATATTGCAAGTTAAGTGAGTTTTCAGCCATGCTGTGGCAGGAGGGTTGGGGGAAAGCAGCAGCCCCAACCTCTGCATTGTTCATAGACCAAATGTACTTTCAGTGACATAGACTTGTCATAGTCCTATACTAATTTTCTAATATAGTCTGTAATGCTCTGTCCTACCTACTTGAATTATTTTTCCCTCAACATAAATATATAACTTCTTTAAATTAATATCAAGAAATTGGCAGACTTCCATAAGAAAGGATTATGCTATCTGGAATTTACTATAAGGTATGATACCTTTTTAAAGTTTAGCTAACTGTTCCTTTTTATTTATTTATGCTGATAGAATATCCACATATAAATGACTGTCTCCAAATCAATAGTGATAAATATTTAACTGAAAATGGACAGAGGATATGAACAAACAGTTTATAGAAGGAAAGTACAAATGACTAATGAATTAAGAGCTGTCCCCCCTTATTAATGCAACATATTATCTTTTTTTTTTAAAGACACTGTGTG